TATATATATATATATATATATATATTTAATAGCATCGGGCATCAATGGATGCAATAACATCTGACCATCTGTACAAAATTCACATTATCAATTTGATTTGGTTAAGGACCTAAAAATAGTGCAGAACCATAATCGTTCTATATCATTGTTTATTTAATTAGATTTTGTTGAAAACGTGTTTTATTTCCATTTTAAAATTTTATTTAAGTTTACATTTTAAACAGTCAGGTCTTTTGAACCCCATTGTATATGTACATTTTGTCCTAAAATCTTGATGTTCATTGAAATTTTATGTATCAACTACCCAGATGTAAACGACTGTGTGAGCAATCCGTGTCGAAACGGAGGTACCTGCATCGATGGGATCAGCTCTTTCCAATGCTTCTGTCCGGACGGCTGGGAGGGTGACCTTTGCGACCTCAGTGAGTGTCTGTCTTCATCTTCCTCATCATCGTGATCTTCTTTACATTCAGTATCTTACCTTTCTCACTTGTATTTCTGCACTCAGATGTGAACGAGTGCAGTCGGAGCCCCTGTAAGAATGCCGGCCGCTGTGTGGACCTGGTCAATGACTTCTACTGTGAATGTGCCAATGGCTGGAAAGGAAAGACCTGTCATTCACGTGAGTTACCTCTCCATGTTTTATGTCAAAATACTCCCTCTTTTCCTATTATATAGTTTAGCTGCATATGTTAACTGACTGGTAATATTTTGAGTCCTTTTTTGTGTCTTTAGGTGAAAGTCAGTGTGATGCCGCCACGTGCAGTAATGGAGGGACCTGCTATGACCACGGAGACACTTTCCGCTGCGCCTGCCCTCCTGGATGGAGAGGAAGTACATGCAACACAGGTGAGTAAACCTCTGTGAAAGTCCAGTTTTCATACTCCGTTTATTCACAGTTGGGTTTCTTAGACTTTTTGAACCAAAAACCCCTTTCATAACCCCAAACTATTCATAGACTCCCCTCACTTGCATGAATATAATCACATCAGTCCCTCTCAACACAGTCAACATAGCAATCCTGCATTCTCACTCTCTTCATATGTGCTGTATAGTCAGTTTTATATTGTATTTGTGGTTACTGACTTAATTTATATAAATTGACCTTTACCGTTTCAACTGTTTAAAAAACATGCCTATACAGAAAATGAATCCAAAATATTTTTCCAAATAAATAAATAGCACATACATTTGTGAATTATATGCATACATAAAATGCATAAATTAAATGTGTTTATGTGTGTGTGTGTG